ACAAAATTTATTTTTTATAAAATTTGAAAATCCACGTAACGATATTTTAAAATCCACGAACTTTTTTTTGTTAGCTACAAAGAGAAGATGCTCACAAATAGAGCCACAATTAAAAGTTGAAATAAAAGATTGGCCCGAAGCACCCTAAAATCCCAGTTATAATATCATAAATTAGAGTTTGAGTTAAGTGATCAGTTTCTTCTAAATCTACATTTAGACGTGATAATGTCTAAGCTTGATAGACGAAGAAAAGGTGTATTTGGTCCAGCGATGGGGAAGAAATGTCTAGTTTTTATTGATGATTTAAACCTACCCCAGCAGGATCAGAGTCAAACTATAACTCCTATAGAACTTCTCAGGTAAACACTTTCACTATTTTTTTTATTAGATCAAAAATTGTTCGTGAAATCTTATAAATGGTCCCAACATTCGTCAAAAAACGCCCTCGACTTGCCCCGATACGGTTAATGTCACCTAGTCTATCTTACCATGGAGGCAATTTTAAAAATGTTTATTTTTGTTAGATATAATATTTAGTACTTGGTAACAAACACAAATACATATCAGACGATTTCAACACTATTTTTTGTATTTCAGACAACCACCTTCCTATTCATATCAGTTTTGTACATAAACTCGACTTCAACCAAATTTTTTTTGTGCTACATGAATACCACGTTAGTACGCCTGATTAAATCTTTTTGATATACAACGAAACAAATGCAATAATATAAAATGAAATACTTTGTTTTAATGTTCAGGCAATGGATTGATCATGGATTTTATATGTTTTCATGTTCAGGCAATGAATTGATCATGGATTTTATATGATTTCATGTTTAGGCCATGTATTGATCATGGATTTTATATGCTTTCATATTCAGGCAATGGATTGATCATGGATTTTATATGTTTTCATGTTTATGCAATGGATTGATCATGGATTTAATATGTTTTCATGTTCAGGCAATGAATTGATCATGGATTTTATATGTTTTCATGTTTAGGCCATGGATTGATCATGGATTTTATATGTTTTCATGTTCAGGCAATGAATTGATCATGGATTTTATATGTTTTCATGTTCAGGCAATGAATTGATCATGGATTTTATATGAATTAATGTTCAGGCAATGGATTGATCATGGATTTTATATGTTTTCATGTTCAGGCAATGGATTGATAATGGATTTTATATGTTTTCATGTTTAGGCAATGGATTCATCATGGATTTTATATGTTTGCCTGTTCAGGCAATGGATTGATCATTTTATTTTATATGTTTTCATGTTCAGGCAATGGTTTGATCATGGATTTTATATGTATTCATGTTTAGGCAATGGATTGATCATGGAT